GTAATGACAGATGAAAGCACAGTAAAAGTTGCGTTTCACATAACACATCATGAAGGCTATACATAGAGAAGTTCTCTAATGTTGGGTTTAGAAATGCTGTGGATAATTTGGAATCACTTATAAAGAAGCTTAGCATGTTTGACGAAATAATTCTCAGAATCAAGTTTGCATCCAAAACCATGGTTTTGACAAAAGCAACTTTAATTTTGTGATGGGAAAAAAATCTAATTGCATGTGATTCAAAAAGATGCGCTCATAATTTAATGTTGCAATATTTTTAACGAGACATACATCTTGATTGACAATTAAATGTCAAAATATTTTTTTAATTAAAATATCTAAGTAACATTGCTTTTATCAAAATTATTTTCTTTTAAATTTAATTTTAACAAAAAATGATTTTATAAAATTAAATCATTTTAATATCAAATTTATGGACAATACTCATTAAAGACATTATAAGTTGATGAGTCAAGAAATTAAGTAAAAGAAATTTCACATTATTTAATGTTAGACAAGGTAACTAAGTATATAAGGAGTAATATCTCACCATTTATTACTTTAAAGTTTTAGATAAATATGATAATTAAACTTAATTGCAGTGACTTGCTCAATGAATTAGTGAATACTTCTCTTTATAAATATCTATATACCCCTTTCACTCAGCATAATCAACTAGGCTAACTAGAAAATAACAAACCTACGAAATCGTCAAACTACTTTAAATCTGCATAAGATAATACATACGATTACTAGTGAACGTTCTGTATCAAGTTTTAGTTTATGCATGTAGCTAGGTTTATTTATTTCATGAGGTTAAACAGCAAAAAGTAAATGACTTCTGAAACCAAACCGCTAATCTTGATCATAATGATAGTTACTTTTATTTCTTCTTATTGCATGGTAATTGGTAAGGACATTCTCTAGTTATACTTTTTCCTGGACACTCTCTTACACTAACTTGTTGCACAATATATAAGAATTGATTAACCAATTCCTTTTAGTATATTGCTTAAAAAAATTGAAACTAGTCATGCATCAAAGTGAGAAAAAAAAAATAGTACAAACCTTTAACTATTAAGCCACTTTCCTGTGGATCAATAAGTCATTGATTCTGGTTGTACATATTCAATTCTCTTTAAATAATGTTTAAGATTTCAATTTGTGTATTAAAAGGCCTTTATCAAAAGAGCTAACATAATCATTTCCCATACAAAATTATACATGCTCTAAAAATCACCTTGGTTCAAACGTCATTTGATCACAACTAATATATGCATCCCCACAACTGAAAGAAATAATTTAATATGAATAGTTTGCCAACTTTTATACAAATTATAATTATTAAAAATTACTTAAATAAAAAATATTCAATTAAAAAACACATGATACATTATAACTCTTTCTTGTTTTTTCATGAGATTTTTTTACTCTGAGTTTTGAGATTAAAAACAATCTTATACTAAATGTAACGGAGTGATTTTTTGAAAAAATAAACAACTGTTCCGTTTTAATAAATATTTCTAATATATTTTTTAAAATAAAAAACTGCAAATTTGTATAAACTTAATATTCTAATCTTTTAATTATTTTATACATACTATATATATTTTAAAGAAAACTTCATTCTCAAGCATACCTTAGCTGTAATCAGAGCTTACTTCCAATGATAACATGATAAGTCAATTTAGGGCAATGGCATGGAATAGGCGCGAAGGGCACCGTCTGTGACCCGTCCTCAAAAAATCAAACCATTCTGTCACACTCTTGAATCCTCCTTACTAGACAAGGCCATGAGAAAAAGAATGATACCCATTCCTCCAACACAAAATAGGGCAACATAAGTTCCACCGTGATCTCCCCAAAGAATAACCTAAAATTGATTTTGAATATTTTCATTACGAGATAATCCAAACGTTAAGAACACAGACTTTTATGTGAAAAAATGTAATGATGGTACCGTATGTAAGAACACAGAAGAATATAAAAATCCCATGTCAAATTAACATGATAACAATAAGTAAAGCAAGAGACAGACTTGGTAAAATAGGAAAGGTAACATAGTATCAAATTTATTCCACCGAGTGAAAAAAGATTCATAAAAATCCGAGCTTTTCTACGTGCCGCTTTTCTAGTGCACAAAGATAGGATTTGATTTCCCCGGCTTGTCACTTTATTCTCCAAAAGATGAATTATGAATTGACCTTTTACTGTTCATGTTCCAGAATAATTTTCAGCACACAGCATAGGCCATTCAGCACAGTGTTTTTTTTTTTAATAATTTTTTAAAACGAAAATATATAAAATATGTCTGTTTTGGCATTCTGGGCTGGTAACTTTGCTGTCTCCAAAAATAATTTGCAGTACATGAAAGATGCCATGCCCTCTCGTGTGCCACACTCTGCCACACAAATTAAATGCACTTCCTTACCCTATCCCCCTCTGTTACAATTTTGTTTGTGCCATCTGAAAAAGCTGCCCCAGTTTCTATAAAATCCTCAAGCACCAAAATTAAAATACGTCATTCAAAATTTCCCCTTTTTTGGACAACAATGGTTGAAAGATCGGTCATGGGTATGTGTATCAATTTTGGATCTGAACTCCAACACATGCAAGAAACCTTGTAGGCTGGTCCTTTAGATATTAAACGAGTGAATGAATATTAGCCACAGCTCGTTTTCCTTGCTGAACTGGCTTTTCTTGTCTTAGCTAAGATTTTATTTTAAGAGATTTTCTATTGTTTGAAATATCATCAAAGTATATTTTATATTTTTAAATCTTTGATAAATTATAGTCTGACATGTGATCCTAATACGTTGTAATTTTTATTTACGCAATTAAATTTCTGCAGGTAAAGTTTTATCTCCACTCACATTTATTCGGATGAATGTATTGCGACAATTTCAATCAAATTTGACTTTGCAGCTCCAAAAGAGATATATCTCTAGCGCAAAAGATATTATGAAGAGTTGTTGCAAGTTATAATATCTACATTAAATCAATGGCATATAAGTGAACAATTTGTCAAATAACTTAAGATATGATATTCTTCTAAAATATATGAATAGCTTTGAAGCAATCCCCTTGATGCCGATAAAGTGTTTTCTAAAAAGAAAAAAAATGATAAACATTAAATATTTTACATCAATAAATATTTAACCCATAAACTTTCATTATTATCTCAGACTTTTGTTAAATGAAATAAAAAAAATTTAACAGTGTTAATGTATCAGCGAATATCAGTATCCTATAGAAGATTGAGTTTAATTGTAGAGATTTAGATTTTAAGATTGAGTTTAATTTATGATGTGCCAACATTTAGTATTTCACCATATCTCAAATACGATTACATCTTCTATAATATTTTTTTAAAAGTAAACGTCAATATAAAATTTAATGACGGTGCATATTTATTTTCTTTATCTATCTGAATATTTCATATTATACTAATTAAAATTTGTTGTTTAGAAATTTTTTTCTGTGAAAACAAAGATGGAAAAAGCTTAACTATCAAATGGAATATTACTCAATTAGGAAAAAAAGGAAGGAAATTAATTGGTGAGTAGCAGCCAACTTGGGAACACTGATGCTGACTTGAAGTTTAACGCATTAAATACTTTTAAACTTGCATAAACATCATGGTCAATTCGTAAATGCCACTGAGAAAACTCCACCACGGTGATTTGATGTCCGCAGACTTGGTCCATACTATCCGCGCATAAAACACGTGGGTCTTGTGTGTTCCGATCCTTTCAATTATGTCTCAACTTGCTTCGACGTGTCTTTAGGATGATGATCTCCAATCCAAGAGAAGCAATTTTTACTAGAGGCAAGTTTCCTAGTTATCCGATCTAACACACTCAAGAATGAATATACTATTGACTTGTTCCATTGGCCATTGCATGAATAGCAAACATACTCCTAAAGCACCGACCAACCAAAAAGGTTACAAATCCTTTGATTATATGTATAGTACAATTCAGCTGGTGACTTCACTCTACTCAGCCATGTAGAGGATTTCGTTAGCAAGTACATTGCTAATATCTCGGGGCCACTTACGTGTGATCTTCTGAGGTTGTCGTAGGCTAGTAGCATCAATAGTGCTTGTGGGAAAACTCCACCGAAACTGATGCAACAGCACGCACAGCATTTACGTCATCAGATACCTGTGCTGTCAAGTACAACTTCGGGTTCAGAATTAAAATGATGTTGCACGTTTGCACGTTTGGCCCAAGATAGGAGACTCAGTCATCGTATGGTTTGGCCCAATCAAGTGGTCTTGTTCCAGTTAAACCTTTTGTTTTCTCTATTTGGTCCTTGGAGTTATTTTAAAGACAAGCAATAAAAAAGAATCAAACCGAACTGAAATCGGTAGACAAGCGCTTCAATATCTTTTGAGCAATGCACACATTCTGAAGTTTGCAGTGCCGCGAACGACATTGTAAATAATACCCTAGAATTTCTAGCTTGGTCAAGGTATGTTTGAATTCCATCAACCAATATGGAAGTTAATTGTACATTCAAATGCCCGTTGGCTACAGTAAATAATACCTTACCTGGCAATGATGCTATGCAGTGAAACTTAATATTCATTTTGTGAGCTCTCATTTTTTGAATCCACGTTGAGTAACTAGGACATACGAGTTAAAAAAAAAAAAAAAAAGTGTTGGTGAGGCAATATATGTTCAATAAGATATGATGTATTATAGCGGAGTTTTTTCTCTCAATACCGGCAGCACAAAGCCCATTCAGGAGAGCAACCTGAACAGAATAGGTATGTCACAATTACAACATGTTAATAGAGCTATTTGCATGAAAAAAGTTAACCACGGCTGCAGGTATGACTGGATTTAAGTTTGCAGGAAAGCTTCTAAGGGAACAAATTCAAATGAAGTGACAGAAAAGTTTCCAAGGTATGACATGCAGTTTATGTCCTTAGTTGTGACACAAAAGTTATGCATGCAGAGATTAATTGTTCTAGTATTCATTACTACTAAATAGAAAAGGGAAGGAAGAATCATTCCAACAATAGTCATCATCAGGTTGGAGGAAATAGATGGGATAGCATTGTAATGGCGGGGAACATCAGTAAAAAGCCTTGAATGGCAATCCTTATGGTAAGAAATCCAAACAGCTATACAATAAATATTGTAAATTTACTGTAGTTTCACAACAAAGATCCAAGAGAGCTAATATACTATTAGTATCACGAAAAGTGCACCAGGGATGAAACCAGCGGAAACGACTTCACAGGGTAATTTATAGATTAAGGTCAGAGAACCACTAATTGCCTTTGATAGCTCCAGCAGCTGACATGAGTCAACATCTCAAAAAAATGGCCATGGTCACTATATGCCCAAAAGCCTACTTACACAAAACCAGAGAGAGAAAAAAAGAAGAAAAAAGGAAACATCATAATGCACTTTTTCAGTTGTCATCGTCATCCTCGCCCTCGCTTTCATCATCGTTCTCATCCTCCTCTTGGTCATCATCAGAGTCATCCTCATCCTTTCCCTGCCAATGAGAATTACAATTTAATATTTGTATCCACTGTTACAGAAGTTGCAATGTCATTAATTTAAAATACAAGTCTGCATGAGTGACTTAGATCATTTAAGAATGCTATTCTTAAGAAAAATAGCAATCAGTGGGATAACTCGTCCCTTTTATATTGGTATCAAACATTTTAAGATGTGTTCACATTTTTTATGTTTTTGGATCATGAATATGAACTGACAAAAACTTTTAGCATTATGTGATGTCTCAAAAATGACTTGTACATGCTAAAAAATGACACATGCTGCATTAAACTATGCCCCCTATAATTGAATATAAAATTTGAGTATCTGTTGACTGGATTTTGGATGGATCCAGCAATCATCAAGTTCCATAAAATTATTAAAAGCAATACTTCAAAAGCATTTGACAATTAACCATGCTTTTTGTAAGAAAAATGGAACTTCAATTACCTCATCATCAGCTTCATCATCAACATCCTCTTCATCAGGCTCCTGCTCCCTTAAAATTAACTACCATTAGAAATACAATGGAAGAATGGAAGTAGAATTTGGAAGTAAAATGAATAATGATGCACAATCTGAAAGCATGATAGGTATTGATCACAGAGAAGATAAAAGTGAAAGTTAACTAACATTGCTGAAATAAGTGAGCGGGTTTGGCCATAAATCATCCTTGATTAATTCTGCAACCTGCAATTTAGAATGCAATATTGCTCCAAGATTAATGTGATGAAGGAAAAAGAATAAACCGGAAAAAAAAATGACTCCTAAGTAGAGAAAGTAAAAATCTAAGGCAGAGGATGCACATATCTGGAACGAATTTCACAAGATCAGGAAAAGGCATACCTCATCATGAATGTCATCCATATCATCTTTCTGCTCACAATCACTAAACCAAGTAAAGAAACTGCATTCATCCGCAAAAGAAATTATAAATATTAACCATTAGTTCCATGAAGTATGTACAGAAGGAGCTTTGACAATATTTCGCACAAATATATTAAATAACAATTAAGAACAAGAAAAGCTTCCATCCACAGACAATAAAGAAAATTTATTAAAAGCTGCCATATCTGCTTTGCCTACTAAATTCTATGTCCTGCTTAAAATTACTCCAATCATGTGATTAGATATTGAGAATGCATGCAAAGGTTTCGGTAGAGTAATGCACAGCCAGTAAAAATATTCATAGGAAATGGGCAGATTTGCATACTTTCATCCTAGTTAAGATAAGATTTCAAAACAAGACTGGAGACTTGAAACTTCTGACTGAGAAAATTGAAGTCATTTTTTTCTATCAACTCTTGACAGGTCAATACTTTCCACATTCTAATTTATCAAATAATATTTCAGACAGTACTCAAGTATAGAAAAATATGCTATGACAGAGAGAAGCAAATTGAAAGTTGTTACCGGTATATTTTAAACATCAAGAGTGTCCCTGATCCTAACCTTCAATCAAGTATACTAAAGTAATAATACTCTCCTGGATATTTCTTTTGATTTTGTTCCTCAATTAATTGACAGAAATTCATGGAAGGTTTAATTTATCATCCAAATATTTACAGCTGAAATTGTTGAGGAGATCTTAATGGTATGATTCTTGAAGAAAACAAAATTAGTTGAGCATGCTTAAGAAGAACAACAATAATGTCTTTGGAGTTTTATTAATCGGAAAGAGAGAAAAATAGAACAAAGAAGACAACAAAAAAAAAATTAGACTATAGACAGTAATAAAATATATGATCCTGCAGTAGTTTCCTAGACATAGAAACTAGAAGAATATATATTTTCAAGAACAAGATTAAAGAATCAGAAGGAAATAATTGATTATCCATTCCGACCCAGCGAAAGAATCAGAAGTACACATGTCTAGTGGAAGCATTTGACATGAATAATGTGATTGGTTGGCAGCGAATAATATGCAACAAACTTTTCCTTTACTTAAAGAAAAACCACACTGAAGAATATCAAATGACCTCTTACACAAAACTAATATGTATGCAACTCCGCATGCATGTGGCTTTCTTTGTTTACAACATTCCTGTACAAAAAAAAAGAAAAAAAAAGGAAGGCACCAACCTGACATCAAAAGGAACCCGCTTGTTCCCTTTCTTGTCATGATTGACTCCATTGGGTATTCCCTGCACATTTAAGCATTATGTTTCAAAGTTTAACAAAGTAAAACAAAAACTATAGATGCTGATAGGGGAGAAAAGGTGAACTCATAACCCTACCTTGCCCTCTTTCCATTTTATGGGGGTAGCAGTTATCTTTGTTGTTCCTTCTTCAAGGAAGGTAAAAGTCTTTGTAAGCTTTGTATCCTCAAAATAGGGATTGGGACTGAAATTCTGAAAAAGAAATAATTAAAAACTGGTCATTTTTTGGCAGTAGAAAATTAACATCTGGTTATTCTTCAACGAATAGAAGAAAATGGGATCTTTATTTTCGGGGAGGCAGAATGAGAAAGAGATGAAAGGGGGCAACTTACAAAGGTGATTGCATAGCCTGATTTGACATCTTTATTGTCTTCAACCTCAAGAGAGCCCAAATACTTAAATATCTATCAAATAAAGGGTGTCGACAACAAACTAAAGTTCCTCAACAAATGAAACCGACAGTAACATGATAACATAATAAACATAATACAACTTTGGTGAGTACAAGGAAAAAGGCAAAACCTTTTGATCCTCCTCGTTCAGAAGTTCACTAAGGGCAGGATGACTCAAAAACTACAAAAGGATAACAAAGACCAATTAAACAAAGCATTTCAAACCATCCTAATAACAAAACTCCCACAATCAAATTAACAGAAACATAAAAAACTCACAGCAGTCAACCAGAAATCAGGAATAGATTTGATAATCTCATTCCGCTTATCATAAACAGGCTTCCTAATCTCATTGTACTTCTGCTCTATTTCGAGGACCTTATCACTTGCCTCCTCATTGATCTACAACGAAGTTCAAATCCATCGTGAATAGGATAAACATCGTCCATAAAGCCACAATTCATAAAGCACGATTATAATAATAATTTATTAGGTTCACTTAATCCGGAGAATCAATAAATTGCATGAGCACGGAGGATGAAAACATAAAACATTGAATTAAATGGAAGAATTAGGATTTAGCATAGAATGAAAGGGGAATTGGAAATGAGGAAACCTTTTCTAGTTCGTCTTGGGTCTCTTGCAACTTCTCGATGGAGAGGACGAGTTCTCCGTCAATAGCATCCTCCAAATTCTCAGTGATTTTCAACTTCTTTGACCTGTCGCCTCCCATCTTCTTCCTAACACCTCCGAAGTGGGCGTTTGTTGCAGAGGAGGCAAAGTGAGGAGTGTGGGATAGAGAGAACAATACGGTTAGGGTTTTGGGGGTTTATGTTCCAAACTCCTCGTTGCCGAGACACGTACATATAGCCTATCACGAGACAAGGGTTCATTCAGGGGTGTTTTTGTCATTTTCTCGATATCACTTATCTTCTGGTAAGAAAATTTATTATAATTATAAATATTTCTATTATAACATTTAATAATTTCAATACATTAAATACATTAGCATTTAATATTATCAATATATTTAATTAATTATATTAAAAATTTATTATAAATTATAATATTATCAATATACCAAATTATATATTTTTAATAAAAGTTTATCATATATAATTTTTAAAAAAAAGTGATTTAGTATATTAATTTTTTTCTTCCAAAAGTTAATATTTTTATTGTAATTTCACCATAAATATTTTTGGGAACTGCAGTTTCGGAATCAAGTTATCTTTATAGCAGTTTTAGAACAAAGTCGTGTAGCAATGACTGTGGAAATATACAAATTTTATAACTGAAATGAAAACGGCTCTTGAAAATAACATCTTTTGACCTCTGATTTTATTCAATAAAATTATATTAAAATGTTTTAGTTGAATTTCAGCGTCTTAAAAAACACATCGATCCATTTTAATAATCAGAAAAATAAAAAATAAGTATTTAAAAGTGAAATTTATTATGAAATTTTCATGTTTGAATCACTCATTTTATATGAGAAAATGAGACCAATTTTTTTTCTATACATTAGTTTTAATATCATATTTAGAGAAAATTCTGAATTAATTTCAACAACAATCAAAAGGATTCAATTTTTAACAAGATTCCCACAAAAATTAACAACATTGTAACAAAATTATTAATTTGAGATTAAAAATTAAAAAAATAAATCACTAATTTTGTAAAATATTTATTATTTATAAATTTAGTCAGGTTACAAAATTGTAGTACTGAATTTTAAAGGAAAATACTTTAAAAAAAAATATTACCTTTATTATATTAAATATCATCTCTGTGTTGAAAAATCATTTTACTTTTATGATGTGAAATAAAATAAAATTATAAATACAAATATGCTAAGTCATTATGCTTCCACATTCATAAAATTATATTATTAAAAGATAAATGATTTTTTAAAATATTTTAAATGCTCATAGAAAATATAAATAATTAATGCAAAGTACAATAATATTATTAATTATAACATAGTTGATAAAAATTAATTAATTACTATTTTAACATAAAAATTATAATAGGAAGTTTAAAATTTTATTATAAATACAATTAAAGCGATTGTTATTTTTATTATGGGCAATATTTATTAATAATTCCTTATTTTATACATCAAAGGATATAGATTAAGAAAATAGAAAATATAATTTTTTATTTGAAATATTTTATTATATTTAAAATAAAAATATTTCATAAATTTAGTAAAGTTAAATTTATTATATTTATAAAATAAAAAATATTCAAAAATTAAAAATATTATAATATATTTTAAAACATTTATCACATGCATATACTTTTTTATTTTTAAAATGTATTACTAAAAACATTAATTAAATTTAATAATTTTAATCTATAAATATAAGATGAAGTTAATGTATTTAAGAGAGAGAGAGAGGCAACAATAATAAATATAAATACAACAAGTAATTTAGTCAAGAGAAAAAAAGAGATAAGATTAGAAGACTAAATTTAAAATAATAATAATAATAATAAATTATTATAAAAGATATCTATTATATTAAATACACAGGAATGTATTAAATTTTTTAAATAACAAATTATTATTAAATTGAACTCTAAGACTTAATGCTAATATTTTAAAAAAAGTATTTAAGAAATAAATAATAACTGTAACAAAAAAATTAATAAATGATTATCTTAAGAGTTTTAAAGCCATTAAATAATATAATAGAAAGTATATCAACTGTAGATGGATAATTATTTTTATACACTATATGTTGATTTTTTTAAAATGTATATATATATATATATATATATATAATTTTTTTAGAAAAGAAAATAATAAATATGATAAATAATAATATCTCTCTGTGGATAAAAAGTAAGGTTTTGTGTCTATTCTTCAATTTCAAAACTGAATATCAATTTTAACATTAATTTTATTAATCTTTTATACTTTTCTCTCTCTTAAATTATAATATATTATAATCTCTATATATATAAAAAAAAGTAACCATCTATATATATATATACTTCAAAATTAAATAAAATAATATTTTTATCTAATTTTGATCTTTACATTATATTCTCTTGTCAACTTTTATTATTAGTTGAGAAATTTGTGCCCACTTACCAATGATGCTTCATTTGAAATTCTTTACTACCATAAAATCATTTAAATTAATCAGTGAATATATGGACATGAATCTTTTGCCGTTATGGTAAGAACTAAACGTTTAGTCTATTTTTATTTAAACAAAAATAGACTCATTTAATTGAAAATAAAAAAATAACTAAATTTTTTTTATGTAAAATTAACTTAGACAATATTTTTAATTTAAAGCAAATTTTATACATGTGAAAAAATAGAAATTAATTGTAGGAAAGAAGGGATTAAGAATGAGCGAAACAGGAAGAAGGATTATCATAAAGGTGGTGATAAAAAGAAAGGAGAGTGAATGAATTAAATATAGAGAAAAAAGGCAAAAGTGAATACAGTAGTAAAGTGAGATGAGAATGAAAAAAATAAGAGATTGGTTGAGTATGGAGTAGAGAAAATTAAAGAGTTAACTATGAGAAAAAAATAAAAATTAAATATGTAGATTAAAGAGAAAATATTAAATATGAAAGAGAAAGAAAGGAGAAGATTAAAAGAGAAGATACAAAATTCGTTACTTAAGCTAATTTTGTGTAAATTTTTTTGTCTTTTTCTTTATTCTTGTTTAAGTGAGTTATTTTTGCTTAAACATTAGATAGAGATTTGAATCCGTGAATACATGCTGATTCCAATTTCATACTCCATTGATCGTAAGAATTATCTCCAATAAGGCACCTTAAATATTAAAATAATTTAGTTTTATTAAAAGATCAAACGAAAGAAAACATCTAACCATCGTTCATTTTTTTTCGATGACTTGTAAAATATAAATAGGAATAGATTATAGTATTTAATAATTAGATGACTTTCAATTAAAAAGATACTATACACGAGTTATTATTGCGTGTCCAAGGCACACATCAGAAAATACGATAGATAATATCTGCATATTGCATGGAAAAAGTAATAATGCCGCTGCCTACCATTCTGAACTTTGTTTTACCTTCTTTCTGAGGAAAAAGAATTCGGAGCATTGAACCAAATACACTGTTAATTTCAAGTCTTAAAAGCGCTAGTCAACAGAAAAGCTGGAGAAGGCACTCTACTCATGATCATCGTTCAGTAAACATTCGCTGCCGTCATCAGTTTCCTGAAGTTACTTGCCAAAAATTCTCATTTGAAGCTGTTGCCAATTGGTTTTCCATCATATAATTCTTCAGGTCATTGCTATCATGCTGCACCCTCCCAGTAATCTCCAAGCACAAGCCCTTGCTTACGCCTTTATGTGATTGCTTATCTTTAGCAGACTTCCTACTGAATCCCAGGTCCACAAAAACCGGCTGAATCTTAAGAGTTGGATTTGGTTTAATACGGTTCACTTCCCTTTCATCTGGTGGTCGTAATATTCTGTTGTCAGATTGTAATTCTGAAACTTCATCTTCATTCAGAAGGACCTGCAAATATAAATCAGAATAAAAAAATGAATGAAAAGCAGGCACTCTGCATAATATTAGGGTTGCTGTAAAAAAGTATATGATGACTACTATACAAGCAACAACAATGGAAAGAGGTGAAGACGAAAAGTGGATAGCATTGACCATAAAAGGACTTTTGCTTGTCACATTTGAGAGTTCCATTCAGTAAAAATCATAACTCATAACATACAAAACCATCAACAATGGAACACGTTGATAGACCTCTAATAACTAGTCTATTATAAATGAAATAGACCGGGGAACAGGGAACCAGACCCAAAAGGGCCTTAACTCAATGGTGGAACCATGGCAGAAGAACATATGATTGATACTAATAAGAGACCTAAAGTGTGAAGGGTTTATGTTAGGAGGAAGGGAAAGAAAGAGTCAACTGCTAGTTAGTTGTTAATATGGTTAATAGATCCTATAAATAGAGTTAGATTTTCGAATAAGGGGACTTTTGTTTTTCTGTAAATACTGTTAGGAAGAACTTAGTCTCTATACAGGAGCTGACAGCTCTGGGGATTCTTGTAATCCTGGTTCTTGCTAAAGAGATCATAAAAATTGTCAATACTCTTCAGTCTTTTTTTTATTCTACTTCTGAGAGCCTAAAACTCAATGTAACATAATAGGCTTAATTGTAACAGTATATACTAGTGGGCAGTTAGTTAGGAGGGAGGTTTTAACTGTTTAGAAAGCAGCTGTATAAAAAGAGGGAAACTACATTGAGGCATCTTGGAAATGGGAATTGTGATTGAGACTTGGGAGAAACCTAGATCTCTTGAACATCTAGGGAATCCATGTTCTTTCTGCACATTTTTTTATATTCTTGGTGTTGCACCGCATTGGGGCAAGATCAGGATTAGGGTTCTTCAATAACGATACATTTTTCAATTCATATTTTGATCTAGTATGATCACAAGCATAATAACTTGATATACATCGGTAGATTCCAGGAAATAATCACACGAGAAATTTGTTTCCAATTCTACTCAAAAGATAATTCATCAGCAACAAATCCAATTAATAACTTTAGACAAGAGTCACAAGGCCATATGGCTAAAATTAAAAATATAAACCTTGCGGCCAACTAGATCAAAAGTCACAACAACTCTATTCCGTTTGGCTCGCTCAGCTTCTTCCATCTCCTCTTGTTTCTTCTTTAACAGTTCTTTTTCCTAAAAAAGAAGACAAAATTGAAACAGCTGAATGTGTCATAACTCACATAACAGTATCACACATGAATGTGATTATGTTGTGGACAAAATAGAATACCTCCTTTGACAACCAACTGTTTCCATCAATCTCATAATAGTCACTTTGGTCATCAATGACTGTTGTACGAGCTGAAGAGTTCCGGTCATATTCAACAAGCCTCTTTGCATAAGCTTCAGCAGCAGCCTCGGCATCTGACAAGGGAGGCAAACTTTCTTCCAGACCAGCATATGAGCTTCCCTCTCTCAACACAAGTGCACCACAAAAATTGCAAGGTCCCTCTCCCTCTTGTTCACAAACTATTTTGCCACAAGATAAGCAATTACTGATCAGCCTGTGACGACGTGCTTGACAAGAGCACGGTCTTCCCTGCTGGAAAACAATAGACCCTTTAGCAGCCTCAGCAAGTGAAACAGCTTTCCCAGCTTTCTTCTTTTTGGAATTCGCTTGGTTTCCCTTCTGTGATGTTCTTGATTCACTACCTGGAGCAGGAGTCTGATTTTCCTGATTACTGCTAATCACATTCTTGTTGGGTTCGGCTGGATAACTTCGGCCCGTCGCTGCTTTTGGTGCTCTTGACGATTTCTTACTTCCACTTGCAGATGTCTCAACAGAAGGTGGTTTGACATAGGCATGTAATTTGGTGGTTGGAACATCTGAGTTGGTACTCAATTCTGAGTGACCCCTCCGTCGTAAATACTCTTCAATCACAGTTTTCCCTGTTTCCTCCCCAATTATATTCTGCAAAGAAAAATAAAGATAAACCTACTCAGAGTAAAATCTTTCATTATACAGGGAGCTTATAAGATTTCATCACTAATACAACAGAGAATCTGAACTTCTACAGCAAGGTCCACCATAAAACGAATGCATTATAAACATGTTCAAAACAAATCATCCTTAAACTTCAAATTTGTCCTCCTAGAGCAATTAAATTAAAGCCTAATATAAGTGATATCAAACCATACTATCTCTTTTGGCACGGTCATCGCTTGCGGAATAAACTTAAAAATAAAATGGCGAATGATTCACAAATTCACATCACGGCTACGAAATTAAAGGCAAATTGATACCGCGCTGAAAGAAAAGAAAGGAGATTACGTCAAGGTACTCTTTAGCATCTCGTGGGTGAGCAAGGTCGCAGTAAGAAACAAGGCCTTTAATGATTTCTTGATCCAATCCTAACCCCAAACCTGTTTCGATCTTTGAGCACAATTCCACCAGCGCCTTCTCCAGCCACTCCCCCGCCGATTCCATTTCCTCTCTCTGCCCCTACTCAGCTCTTCGCTCGTCACATTTCCATTCGATTTATTTTAACACTCAAGTTTCTTTCGCTTTTAGCATTAAAAAATAAATAAACTTTGATATACAGATTTACATAATTTTTTTATGACGTCTTTTTAGATTTTATAATAATTTAAAAAACGTGTTTTTAATTTAGACGATAAATTAAAATTAATATATTTTTATATGAAAAATTAAACAAATTCGTCATATTTTCAAGAATAAAAAATATACTTGAACTTTTGAAATATGTAATAATTGAAAAAGAAATACGATTCTCTATATAAGAAAAATCTCATTTTTAATAAAATACATTATTTATTTTTAATTATAAAATTTATGAATTTTTAAAATATTATTAATAAATATTTTGTTATATTAAATACGACTAAAATTTAAAAAATGACATTTTAAAGTAAAATAAATAAATTAAAGTTTAATTGAAAATATTAAATTCTAAAAAAAAAAATCATAAAATTAGTCTTTGTAATTGGATTTTTAGTCTGTATAGGAAAAATCTTACATTTTCATTTGTATATAAAAAGTTGTTTACAATTTTGCTCCAGTCATTTATTAAAGTTAAAATATTATTAAATTTAATTTTTATATTTGACACTAATTTTTTATTTTAATATTTGTATTTTATTTTTGTCTCTTTAAATAAAAATTTGATATTTTAAAATAATAAAGACTAATTTATAATTTGTTTTCATATACAAATTAAAATGTTCTTTTAATAAAATTTTGAAAAATGGCATGTATACTAAAACTGTAATATAACCTATTAAATAATTGTAGGAGATCATCGCCCTTAGTTAATTAAAATAGTTATATTTTATTAGATTTTGTAATATATTTTTTTATCACATTAAAATCATCTTGCAGTGAGGATAATTATGATGTGTCTAAATAATAATAATGAATAAATTATTAATTTGTTTTTTTATTTTTAAGATTGATTAAAATAATCTTAAAATAAATACATTGTTATATTAATTTCTAACATATATATATATATATATATATATATATATATATAATCGGTAATTGTGGTTTTTGTTGTTATTCAATTGTTAGGTATTTCAATGTGATATGTATTAAGTACTAAATGAGATGAACATATAGTGTGAGTGTGACAGATGAATAACATAACATGGTTTAGAGTAAATAATTATTTTAAAAACTCTTCATCTTATGCCCTAAAACCTTGAAATAATAATAAAACCAAAATTTTACTCAAATGATATCATTTATGTTTTTTCTTTTCTTTGTTCTTTTGTGCTAACCTAAAAATTCAATGCTTTTATTTTCTATTTCTTTACTTTTTTTCATATAGTAGTAGAGTTGGCTCCAGGGATGAAACTTACTAGTCATAAACCTCCGAATGTTACCTCTACCGAATCCCATATTGTTGGGTCTTTTCATGCTGATAGCTATAGAGCCCTCTCACCCACACATCATCGTCTAAATTGACATAAAAAACATTAAAAACATCGACACCAACAAACTCAAATATCGTTATGACACTCTCTTGAACTAACTCAAAGTCCGTTATTACAGTTGGAGAAGCAAGCCACTAACAGAGGCTTAATCGCCTGCTCCAACCAAATTCCAAATCCAGGGCAAGAACAAAAATAATTAACTTAATTTGGCTTCGAATTTGAAATGAGTCGTGCATTGCTTCCCAAGCACGTCGCTGCCGTCGTGAGAATCCAAAAGGACCCTCTGAAAGCGCTCGAGATGTTCAACTCCGTCAAAAACGAGGAAGGGTTCAAGCACACGCTGTTCACGTACAAATGCATGCTCCAAAAGCTTGGCTTTCACGGCGAGTTCGAGCATATGGAGAAGTTACTCTCGGAGATGCGAGAGAATGTCAATAACGAGTTGTTGGAAGGAGCGTACATTGAAGCCATGAAAAACTATGGTAGGAAAGGCAAGGTTCAGGAAGCTGTGGACATATTCGAACGCATGGACTTCTACAATTGCGATCCTTCGGTTCATTCCTACAATGCCATCATGAATATTCTGGTTGAGTTTGGGTACTATAACCAAGCCCACAAAGTGTATATGCGGATGAGAGATAAAGGGATTCAATCTGATGTGTACACCTACACCATAAGGATCAAGTCCTTCTGTAGGACTAGTAGGCCTCATGCTGCTCTTAGGCTCCTTTATAACATGCCTGAACTTGGGTGTGATTCAAATTCTGTGGCTTTTTGCACTGTGGTTGCTGGGCTTTATGACAATGGTGACCATGATCAGGCACGGGAGTTGTTCGATGAAATGCTTGAACGGGATTTGTGTCCCGACATTGCCACGTTTAATAAGCTTGTGCATGTGCTTTGTAAGAAGGGTCATGTTTCCGAAAGTGAGAAGCTTCTCGACAAGGTTTTGAAGAGGGGGGTTTCTCCCAATTTATTCACCTTCAATATCTTCATTCAAGGGCTTTGTAGGGAAGGTGCTTTCGACAGGGCTGTTAGGTTTTTTGCTAGTGTGTCAAGGGAAGGAATGAGTCCTGATGTTGTTACCTATAATACGTTAATATGTGGGATGTGTAGGAATTCTCGAGTTGTAGAAGCTGAGGAATATTTGCATAAAATGGTTAATAATGGGTTTGAGCCTGATGGCTTTACCTATAATAGTATTATTGATGGATACTGCAAGAAGGGGATGGTACAAAATGCAAATAGGATTTTGAAGGATGCCGTTTTTAAGGGTTTTAAGCCTGATGAGTTTACTTATTGTTCATTGATTGACGGGTTATGCCAGGATGATGACCCTGATCAAGCCATGGCTGTCTTTAAAGATGGACTAGAAAAGGGTTTGAGACCAAGCATTGTTCTTTACAATACCTTGATTAAAGGGTTGTCTCAGCAGGGTCTTATTTTGCCGGCTTTGCGATTAATGAATGAGATGGCAGAAAATGGTTGTCAACCCAATATATGGACTTATAATTTAGTTATAAATGGTTTGTGCAAGATGGGTTGTGTATCTGATGCTAATCATCTTATTGATGATGCTATTGCCAAAGGGTGCCTCCCAGACATATTTACCTATAATACTTTGATTGATGGCTACTGTAAACAGTTGAAGTTAGACAGTGCAACTGAGATAGTAAATAGAATGTGGAGTCTGGGCATGACTCCTGATGTTATCACATATAACACTTTGTTGAATGGACTCTGCAAGGCTGCAAAATCTGAAGAAGTAATGGATATTTTCAAGGCAATGGAGGAGAAGGGGTGTGCTCCAAACATAATTACCTACAACATTATCTTAGAAAGCCTTTGCAAAGCTAAGAAAGTAATTGAAGCCGTAGATTTTCTTGAGGAAATGAAAAACAAGGATTTGAAACTGGATGTAGTTTGTTTTGGCACATTGATCTCTGGATTCTGTAAAATTGGGGATCTTGATGGTGCTTTCCAGTTGTTTAGAATGATGGAAAAACAATATGATGTTTGTCAGACAACAGGGACATATAACATCATAATCAGTGCATTTTCTGAACAGCTCAATATGAATATGGCCGTGAAGCTCTTTTCTGAGATGAAGGAAAATGGCTGTGACCCAGACAACTATACTTACCGGGTCATGATTGATGGATTTTGCAAAAAGGGAAATGTTACTGAAGGATACAATTTTCTTTTGGAAAATATTGAAAAGGGGTTTATTCCATCACTGACAACATTTGGACGGGTTTTAAATTGCCTTTGCATGGAGCACAAGGTTCATGAAGCAGTTGGTATCATCCACCTCATGTTACAAAAGGGTATTGTCCCAGAGACTGTAAATACAATTTTTGAAGCTGATAAAAAGGTGGTAGCAGCACCTAAGATTGTTGTGGAAGATTTGTTGAAGAAGGGCCATATAACTTATCATGCCTATGAACTACTATACGATGGTATTAGAGATAAAAAGATACTTAAGAAAAGACTTCCAACTGTGACTTCTCATCGAGGGACCAGGTCATCGGCTGTTGATTAGAAGCTAATATCTTTGGAAAGTGATCATTCATGATCTTCTGCTTGGTTCTAACTTCGGAGGATGTTTGGAGCTTCCAGTAGATACCTGTTATGATGCTAAAGTTCATGGCTTTTGAAAATGAATTTGGAGGAATTCCTTGATTTTTTGGGTATCTAAATTCTCTCTTAGACTGCATGCCACTCTGAAATTTTGGTGCAGGTATTTCTGCATTCTATACTAATTCTTCTTCACAAATAGTGGATAGATTGTTGTATTGAATATTGATATCCTCATTTCATTGCAGAATACAAGCTGATTTCAGGTACTGATACTGTATCCTATTCGTAACTGAAATGTAAATACTATTTCCTTCCCTGACCAAATTTCGCTCCTGTTCAGATTAATTGAGTAATTTTTAAAACATAAAAATATTATGCAGTTTTTATTTATTTATTTTCCATAATCAGTCTTTCCTATGATAACTTTATTAGAAGTTCTACAATTATGTAGTGGTGATTAAGATATTGAGAATTATGGGGAAGAGAAGCTTTTCAGTGTGTGAGATAATGAAACCTCAAAATAATATTTCTTCATTGGAGCCTATAAATTGTAAACAAACTCCATTTGATGTGGTTATAACCCTCCTTTCATTACTTTACAAAATACGCATTTACAATATGTGTGTGTATTATGCTTTTATATATTTTCTTTTACTGTAATTTATTTATAGGCACAAGGTAGTTTTTGTGGGGTCATAGCATGGCCAGGCTTCCATTTCAATAAATTTACTTATTGTCTGGGTTTCTTAGCACTGCATGAACAATCTATACATCAGACATATATTATACTCAGTCCACTGATATGTAAATATTTGACTCATCACTGACCCTATGTATTTCTAGTAATTTATGATGATTGTAGGCCCAGGCATAGCTAAATTTTCAATAATGCACATTCTGATTTCTCAAGTTTTTTTTTTTTTTTTACCCGTATAATACAAATTTTATTTGACCAACACACTGCTGTGAGGCTTTGGGAAGCTCATGTGATTTTGGATGTGAATGGGCAATAGCTATATTTATTATTTTGTTCTTGACTTAAAAAAGCAATTCCTCAAGGTCTTCAAACAATTGGGAAATTTTTCTAGTCATGTAAATCATTTTTTAACATGTGATCAATTTTCGTAAAAATATTTAATTCAAACCATGGTTTCTTGGGACTTCCAAAACATGTCATATTTCTGAGCTTCCAATTCAATTTTTAAAAGCATTGTTACTGTATGGAATGAAAAAATGTGCATTTTAATATGACTACAATTTTGGGATTGAATTGTCTAACACATTAAGAATTTTGGGATTGAATTCATGGTATGTTGTTTGTATGGAACTGTTTCTAGTGCAAATTTTGACCTTGTTGCTAAGATAATTCTGCCATAGATAGCATGTTTCTATGTGATTGAGCATAATTGGTTTTGTTCTGTATGATGAAATGTTTAAACATGTTGCTGAACTCTATTTGAAATGACTTAATGCTATCTGCCTCTGAAATGTAGCCGCAGTTTGATTTTCCTTGTGCTAGCGTGTAGGTATGTCAATAAGGTTCTCTTCAAAACTATCAACTGCAGTATGCTATTGTTTTTCATGTGAATATGTCAATTATGATAGGATCATATTGGTCATAAACACAAATAATATCAATGATAGGACAAGGTATGCTAGTTGCAACATTTACCTACCGTGCTTGAGTCTTCCTGCCAGATCTACCCTCAAAATGGTACATTTGAGGAAGAGGAATAATAATACTCATCCGCATGCTTGAGTCCTCACAACAAACAAGAAAGAAAGATAGCTGCTAATTTCATAGCTGTCACGATTTATAGCATGAGAATTATAAGCCGGGCTTCTATAACTAAAGGTAAGTTCCTTTCAAGTTTTGATTGAGATGCACTTTGTGTAGTTGATTGATGACGATGAAGTCTTAGAAATGGAAGCATACTATAATTCATAACCTTCAATGTACTTATGTTCTCATTCATTTTCATATTGCAGGTTAGCTCCCCATACTGGATCACAAAACTGTTTCGTACTTCAGGGAAATCAGACTGAAGAACCCTCATACAGGATTTGCATCATCATCGCCTCAAAATGAATTCTACTTCTTTTTGTAATTATCCCGCAAATGATAATGTGCATTGTCTTGATGAGAACATACAACTTCTTTCATATTGTTAAGAAGGTTCAGACTTCAGAATATTCGCAGGCATCAAAAAGCTGAGAGAATGTGCCTCTCTCGCCTATTATTTTTCTCTCTGTTGTTCGAAATTTAAGTGTGATTGATAGGAAGAAAGACTTGCATGTCTCAAAGTTGACCTCCTGAAGACCTATCTGCTATGATTTATGAACCATAAACAACCCGAAGAATCCTCCAAATAAGATGAATTTCAGTTTCATCGTGGAAGAATATCCAGTGTACTTTTTGTTAAACAAAAAGAAAGCTGAAGAGGAATCACAACTATCCATGAATTAGTTTATCTGTTTAAGAGATAATTAAAGTACATCATATTTAACTTTTAATGGCATGAACAACTTTATTTTCATATTAATCTTGTTTCATAAGTTAATACACATAATTCGTTAAAATCTGACCTGACTGTACCATTTATATCAACCGGTAAGCAATGGTTAGTGCTTTAGATTTAAAAAAAAAGAAGAGTAAACCATTAAAATAGTCCTTATTGTTTCTAAAATTTATCAAAATAATTTTTAAATTAACTAAAACATTATTTTAATCCTTAACATAGGTAATTATGCTCATTTTAGTCTTTACAGATTTGAGAATTCATAAAAATAGTTTTCTAATTTAAATAAAATGTTATTTTAATTTTTAATGTATGTAATCATCAATTATTTTAGTTCTTTATGTTAACATATAAACTAACTCAATATATTAAGTGTTAGTTAATCATATAATATTATTAATTATTATTTATATTATTATTATTAAATGTTACATTAAAAATTAAAATAAATGATGATTGTATGCGTTAAACACTAAAATAATATTTTGTTTATATCTTGTATTATTTTGATGATTTTTCAAAATTACAAGGACTAAAATATTGCCAATTAAATATGTTCAAGAATAAAATAACGTTTTATTTAATTTAAGGATTATTTTGATGAATCTTAAAAACAATAAGAAAATAATTAATAGTTTACTAAACAAAAGTTTAGTGTTTTTCTAATTTTTTTTTTCTTATGTGAAATATTTGTTAATTTTTTTTACATTAAGAGGTCTATTTAAAACATATATCCAGAAAAATCATATTTATTAAAAAATATTCTTAACTAATAAATTCTTACTTTATATTTGTTTAAAGCATGTTTAGATAGATACTCCATGCAGCTAGAAAAATAGAGACAAATGCATTTTAAGATGTATAAAAGGACTTCTTACATAATAGAAAGCATGTATAATTTTTAAAGAAAATCAGTTTATTTACTTCTAATAAGGTTATAAGGGTGTAAACACATTTTCTTGAGTGAAAGACGAATTCATACTCAAATAAGTATTTACCTCGTACTAATAATTCTCAAGTATGTTTTTTTTTTTTTTTTTTTTTTTAATACTGCACTTAATTTTTATTTTTTTTAAAAAAACAGTGCGTGGGGTTGTTTCATATGTTTGGTTCGGTTTGGTTTGAAAATAGAAGCTGTGAGGGAATGGAACAAGGATGGGTTTCATTGGTAAGCAAGTGCAGCACCCTGAAACTCACGAAGCAAATCCACGCCCATATCTGCAAAAGCGGTCTTCAAACTGACCCTTTCGTCTTTGGGAAGCTTCTTCTCCACTGTGCCATCTCTGTCTCCGATGCTCTGCACTATGCTCTCCGTCTCTTCCACCACTTCCCCAACCCCGACACCTTCATGTACAACACCCTCATTCGCGCACTCTCTCTCTCCCAAACCCCTCTCCATTCCCTTCACCCTTTCATCCAAATGCTTCGCAATCCTACCCTCTTCCCTGACAGCTTCTCCTTCGCCTTCGCCCTCAAAGGCGTCGCCAACTCTCGTCACTTGAGACCCGGGATTCAGTTGCATTCTCAAGCTCTCTGTCATGGCTTTGATACCCATATTTTTGTTGGGACAACTTTGATCAGCATGTATGCTGAATGTGGGGACTATGCGTCTGCACAACAGGTGTTTGAGGAAATGTATGATCCAAATGTTGTTGCGTGGAATGCTGTTGTTACCGCCGCTTTTAGGTGTGGTGACGTGGGAGGTTCGTGGGACGTGTTTAGACGGATGCCGGTTCGGAATTTGACCTCTTGGAATGTGATGCTTGCTGGTTATGCTAAAGCAAGTGAGCTTGGGTTGGCAAGAAGAGTTTTTTCTGATATGCCTCTGAGAGATGGTGTTTCTTGGAGCACTATTACTGTTGGGTTTGCTCATAATGGCTTTTTTGACGAGGCTTTTGGGTTTTTCAGGGAATTACTGAGAGAGGGAATCCGGCCGAATGAGGTGAGCCTAACTGGAGTGTTGTCTGCTTGTGCACAAGCTGGGGCGTTTGAGTTTGGGAAGATTTTGCACGGGTTTGTGGAGAAAGCTGGGTTTCTTTGTATTGGATCTGTGAATAATGCTCTAATCGACACCTACTCCAAGTGTGGAAATTTAGCTATGGCTAGGTTGGTCTTTCAAAATATGCCAGTGGCAAGGAGTATTGTGTCTTGGACATCTATGATAGCAGGTCTTGCGATGCATGGTCATGGAGAGGAGGCAATACAACTTTTTCGTGAGATGGAAGAATCTGGAGTTAGACCAGATGGTATTACTTTTATATCTCTCCTCTATGCTTGTAGCCATAGTGGCTTGGTTAAGGAAGGGTGTGATTTTTTTTCTAAGATGAAGAATTTGTATGGTATTGAACCTGCCATTGAGCATTATGGTTGCATGGTTGATCTGTATGGTCGGGCTGCTAAGTTACAGAAGGCCTATGAATTTATTTGTGAAATGCCAATCTCACCTAATGCAATCATTTGGAGGACTCTCCTTGGGGCTTGTAGCATTCATGGCAATATCGAATTGGCAGAGCTTGTGAGAGCAAGGGTTGCTGAAATGGATCCAAACAACTCTGGTGACCATGTACTACTCTCAAATGTTTATGCCATTGCAGGGAAATGGAAGGATGTTGCCAGCATAAGAAGAACAATGACTGAACAGAGTATGAAAAAAACTCCTGGTTGGAGCATGATTGAAATTGATAAGGTCATTTATGGTTTTGTGGCTGGTGAAAAGCCTAACAAGGTTACAGAAGAGGCTCATGAAAAACTGAGGGAAATAATGTTGAGACTCAGAGCAGAAGCAGGTTATGCCCCACAGCTAAGGAATGTTTTGCATGATATTGAAGAGGAAGATAAAGAAGATTCAGTTTCTAAGCACAGTGAGAAGCTTGCGGCGGCTTTTGGAATAGCCAAACTTCCTAAGGGAAAAACTTTAAGAATTGTGAAGAACCTGAGGGTTTGTGGGGACTGCCATACTGTGATGAAGCTGATTTCTAAAGTTTATCAAGTAGAAATCATTGTGAGAGATAGAAGCCGCTTCCACTCATTCAAAGATGGATTCTGTTCTTGTAAAGATTACTGGTGACAGAGGTGATTGATCAAGTAGTTTATGTCTTGACTACCCTTGTTTATAAGGAAAATACACAAGTTAATAGTATCCCCATTTTCACCAAATTGGCTTTATCTAGATAGCTCAGTGATGGCATCATCACAGAAGTTTGACATATATGATGGGTGATGCATGACAACCTAATAAAATGGATACTAGAGAAGCATTTAGTTCTTCTGTCAAGTGGTCTTACCACTATGCAGAAGTTTGGTGAAATGGTAATGGCCATTAAATGAGAAGAAATGTGGCCAATAACTACTACTGTCTTTCTACCATAATTTCTGTAAAGTAAAAGACAACTAACAAAAACTAAGACATATAAACCAAAGAGAAGCACCACTTCATTGAAGTATTCAAAATGAAAGTCTCAACTCACAACAAAAGTAATTGTCAAAACATGTCTTTACCTAAGGAAACTCTTCCGGCACCTACAGACAAGCATTCATCTAAGTCTTCAAAATGCTTACAGTCACAACAAGACAAATTTCCAAAACATATCTTAACTGTCACCACAATCAACTCAGCACATACTACTAGAGAAGTAGAGGTGAATCATCATCTAAAGTAAAGATGCAGCAAGGAGAGAGAAATGTCCTATAATGGGAGAGGAAGACCAGCTGCAGGTGCATCAGTTGGAATTGCAATATGACAGCTGCAACAGTTGTGTGGGCTTCATCCACTCAAGTAGCCTCCTTGGTCGCATTTGCATATTGCAAAAGATGGGAAATGAAATTCTATTTGTAACCTACATGTCATTTCTTTTGTAATCTTGCTGCTTAGTAGGAATATGTTATGTATAAAATTTACGAATGGTGTGATTTTTTTTATATATAAAAATAATAAGTATATGTTTTCGAAAAAGTCACAATGTGAGAAATCCTTCTTGTCCTCTTTTCTACTTAAACTTGCGTTTTCTGCACTCTACATTCTCTTTTCTCATTATCTTAATAACACCCTCATGCTACTCTGTATAACGTTACTTACATCGTATCCAAATGTAGCAAGAAATAGAGGGGGGGAAAAAAAGCGAAAAATAGGTAAAAGTTTTAGATTGTTTGATTGAGGCAAAAAGAAAAAAATATGTCCGAAAAAAAAGTTGAGCTTTTTTTTTTGGTGGGGGGGGGGGTGTTGCTTGTTTGGTTGAATAAAGGAATAAAATAATATTTTGTTTATAAAGACATTTTTTTCCCTATGCAAAATAATGCATTTGTAATAAAGATGAGACATCCCGGATAACTTTGGTATAAACAAAAAATTGTGTTTTATTTTTTTCAACAGATCAACTAGTTGAACCAGCTAAACATCCTATTAGTTCAACTCAAGAAATCGGTTGATCTTAGAAATAGTGAAAACTAGCCTTTTACTGAACAAATTAATAATAAAATTTGGTGATGAAAAGCAATTTGAAACAGTCAATTTTTTTTTAATTTTAAAATATGCCTTTTAATTAAATAAGAGTTTAATGACAAATAATAAGGATCCATATGCATGAAATTTTCATTGCTTACCCACTTATTTTGAAATTTTCATCACTTACCCATTTATTTTGAAATTTTTATAGTACAAAATTTATAATATGGTCATTTTATATTTTATAAACAAAGTGATTTAATATTTTTATTTAAATTTTTTTAATAAATTTCATAGCTATATTTATAAAAAAGTAAAAATCCATTTACAATTAGTTATTATTTAAGTATTTAAGTTATTCATCCAGACATATCCTTGTTTAATAAAAGCTTATCATGCAAAAAATTTATTTACACGTTTAATTGCAAAATTTATTAAAATAAATTAAAAAATTATGAAAGTCATATCTTTTCTTACAACTTAAATAAATTTCATAAAAACATTAATTATTTCCTAATTTTTTTAGGTGTACTTGAGAGCTTTTAGGACCAAGTGAATATTTTTTTTTAAAAAAGAAAAGTAAACGTAATACACATTTTCAATAAATTAAAGGTTAAGTTATTTTAAAACAAAACTAATTAATTTATCTTGTATATAGTTTTAGTTTTTAATTATTTAATTAGCACCAAGGGTGAGCAAGACTTCTATTATTATTTTGAAAAATTAGTGTAGTTATTTTTTTTTAAATATTATTTTGAAAAAATTAACAATAAAAAGTTGATTTTGTGTGTAGAAAATAACATGGGGGATGGGTGAGATATTTGCAAGATGGTGTCAGACACGCAGTTACAGTTAGCAACTTAGCGTACCAGTGATTTTCCATTCCCTCCCCAAAAATCTCTCATCATCAAGTTGGAGTCCATGGTCAGCATTTTCTGCTGTGTTTCTCTGCGTTCTTAACCTTAATAAACCTTTGTTCTATTTTCTATTTTCAGTTTTCATCGTTACCCCTTTTCATTCCATAAGCTCTGCATCATCTAATGGCTCTCTCCGCAACTCTTATGCCTCCTTCATCACCAAAATTGAATCTTTGCGCCAAAATTCGAAGACCCGTTCTCTCTCACTCTCTCAATCTCCTTAACCCCCTAAAGATTCGGGCTTCAACTACTCTTGATTATTCCAACGTCTCTTCCAACGACAAATCAACCCTATTGAAGGTGAGGATAACTTGCCCCTCTTAACTGTTAATTGTTTTATTTCATTGTTAGTGATTCTATAATCCAATATATTTTCTGGGTTTCATTAAATTTTGTACTAAACTCATGAATGTGTAGAGGGTTATTCGTTGGATACGTGGAACCGTTGTGCATTTGTTTATTGCTGAATTTTGTTTTTTTCTGATCAATTTATCACTCACTGCAAACCCATTTACAATGTGAAATAAGGAACCAGATAGATGCTTATAACTTTGAATGATGTTAAGGTTTGGTGTTTTACAACTACTTAACCATCAAAATAATGATTTAGGAAAGAAAGCTTCAGTTTATCAGACGTTCGGAAGTCCTTATACAGCAAATTTATGTATAAACATTCCTTTGGTTTTTCTTCTTTGATTTATAAAAGCAGTTGTCTTCAATTTGATTATTCACAGCTGAATTTGGATGCTTGCTTAACTGTGATATGTAGTTTCAAAAACACGAGTTAGAATGTATAATCATTTTTCGCTCATGCATATTGCCCTTTCCATTTCCCATCAGACTAGTAATTGGCAATGGAAATTTAAGGAAAACTCTGTAAACATTTATTATGAGGAACATGGAAAGGAGAGTTCAGAGTCTTCCCAAGATATCTTGATGATGCCAACCATTTCTGATGTTAGCACTGTTGAGGAATGGAGGTTGGTGGCTGAAGACATTGTTCAACGTAATGGCAATGTCAATTGGCGGGCAACTATTGTTGATTGGCCTGGTCTGGGTTATTCTGATAGGCCAAAGATTGATTACAATGCGGATATCTTAGAAAAATTTCTGGTTGATTTCATCAATTCATCCAATGGTCCAATGAAACAATCAGGTACCAAGGTTATATTCTGTAATGCTTTTCACTGAACAGTTATCATTAGATTAAGCTTTAAAGTTTTAGGATATATTTTTCTAACATTGTTTTAGATCATCGTAGTATAGTTAGTTTACAATTATTATTCATGTCTTTTAAGAGTATTTGCTTATAGTTGATTCATAATGTACTTGTTTTGGGAAGTTTTAAATTGCACATCTGTTTCTGTGTGCTTTTTTAGTTAAGAAGTTTAGCACCTAAAACCAATTAGCTTTCACTACATTCAGCTGTGTTTGCAAAATTTTCTAAATTATTCTTTTATGTTGATTTTAGAAGATATAATTCCTAACCTTCTTACCAGGCTTCTAGCAGTTTTGTTCTTTTTTCCTTGATTGGTGGGTATGAGAAATCAAGAATGGATGTTGATCACTAGAAAAATGAAGTTCTTCACACTGGAACTAGGGATTATTTGAGGGATTTGCAGGGGCAAAGCATGTCCGTGTTTACCCATTGATTATCTTCTGTTCAAGTAGTTTTTCCAGGATGTATATTTGCTTCCATGAGTAGTTGAGTATATCCTGGCTGTGTTTGTTAGTGTTTGTGACTAACATTATTCATGTTAAACTAGAAAATGATTTGATAATTTTTGGAGGAGGACATGCTGCATCAATAGTAGTACGTGCTGCAAAAAAAGGTCTGGTGAAGCCCAAAGCTATAGCAGCTGTCGCACCAACTTGGGCTGGCCCCCTTCCTATTGTATTTGGTAGAGATTCTAGCATGGAAACAAGGTACTTTGATGCTCTCTTTTTCGGTGGACATACCTTTTTCCTTGCTGATTAATGTAACATTGCTTTCTACTCTCTACTTAAAGGAAAATAGATCTCACAGTTGTTTGGGCAGTAAAAGAATACAGTGCTATTGTCTTCATTTTATCTGTTTGTTTAAAATAGTGATTCAAACCGTGGATTGCTGAGCTAATTTCTGAATTGTGAATTGTATTGAATAATAAGATTTAATGACTCAATGAAAAATAATATATCTTATACATGTTGTATAGTGCTCAATGTAATAATTTTGAAATTGTAATTGTGGAAACAGCTTAACAGTCTTGCGAATCAAAATCATTTTATAAGTCAACCAACTCTGACTATTGACTTCTATAGAGGCTAATAAATAAAAAACCCATAATACATAAGTAACCAAGTGAACTCATAAATCTTAATTATTTTTATATTCCTACTAAATTGTTGTTCATCATAAGAATGAAATCTGTTAAGAAATTTGGGCCTAACTCACTCCCAAAAGCTAGCTCATAAGAGGAGGATTACTCTAGCCCTTATAAAATACTCCATTCCTAATTAACGTGAGACATTTTAACACACCCCCCTCACGACACAGTCATCTGTGGAATCATATGTTTAATAAACTTGGACCTAACTCACACCCAAAAGCTAGCTTATAGGAGGAGGACTATTTCTATTCTTGACTAATGTGGGACATCTTAACGCACTCTCCTCACACCATAGGACTGGAGATTTGTGGGTAGCCCAACGTTCAAACTGAATATGCTCTGATATTATATTAAAAAATTTGAGCCTAACTCACTTTTAAAAGCTAGTTCATAAGAGGAGGACTACTTTAACCCTTATGAGGAGTATTCTGACTCTATTCCTAACTAATGTGAGACATCTTAATAAAAATAAAGCAATGATATAACCAAATAAGGTTCTACTGAGTAAACAAGTGACTGTGTGAAGCATGTGTTTCAAAATAATAAAAGCTGAGTAATGGCCTATAAAATAAGGTTCAAGAGGGAGTAATTGTGAAGTGCTGTTTTAGAAGAATGAAAACAGAGTCATAGAGTAATCAAATAAGGCGTGTTCAATAATTCTTCAGTTCTTTTTATTTAACAATTTAAACTTATCTGACTTTTCAACTTCTACGTGAGAATTGGTGAAAAGAAAAGCAAAAATAAAAATAAAGATCATATGATTTGTATCGGTTATCTGAAATCACACTGATAATATGCATGTATTGCATGACCCATCTTCAATTCATCTAATAATATGAATTGTTAGCTTTCCAAATCCTATAGATTTGTGTGATCTAAATTGCAAATTGTGCTATTCTAACAACTCTGGTCCGTATAACTGTTTGTTCTTTGTAACAGTACAACACTCTGTGCCTCTTAAAATCTTCCTATTTTCCCCTCCACCAAATTTTGTTTCATTTCCCCTATACTCTCATTGATAACCTTGAATGTCACGACCATGTTACCTTGTTTCACAACATAACTACCTTTTCTTCCTTTCTCACTAACATGACAGGTATGGTCTTCTAAGAGGCACATTAAAGGCCCCTGCAGTTGGTTGGATGATGTACAACATGCTTGTGAGCAACGAGAATGCTATCCAATCGCAGTACAAATCCCATGTATATGCGGACCCTGATAACGTGACTCCAGGAATTGTTGAAAGCAGATATGCATTGACAAAACGAAAAGGAGCACGTTACTTGCCTGCTGCATTCTTGACTGGGCTATTAGACCCTGTAACATCGCGTGAGGAGTTCCTTGAACTCTTTGCAGCTTTGGAGGGAAAGACACCAGTGCTGGTTGTATCAACCAAAGGATCTCCTAGGAGATCTAAGGCTGAGATGGAAGCTCTTAAGGGAGCTAAAGGGGTGAGCAAGTTTGTGGAAGTGCCTGGTGCTCTTCTTCCACAAGAGGAGTATCCTGCTTTGGTGGCAGAAGAACTTTATCAATTCTTGCAAGAATATTTTGGCACTGTGGCTTAAAATTGACACTTTTTTTTGTAGTAATTTATCTATCAAACGGGGAATATCAATATCATTGGTGTTCTGCAGCTTCTCCCCTTATGTTGGTGCAGCTTTTAGAGTCTGAAATCGTGATTGGTGGAAGAAGTTTGTCCAAGGGTGTATACACATTTATGTTGTGTGATTTTATTTGATAGTTATAGAACTCCTCATGTATACGAGATTTTTTATACTCATCAAATAATTTTGGACTGGACTGATGATGTGAACATAACTTCTTTTTACGGCATTATAAATCTAAAGTTGCTACGCTTGCTTATTCTTCACGCCCCTCCTTCTAAGGGGATAATATAGATAAAATAAAGCCTCAACCGTTTTGGAGCTTACTCTCAATTGCAGAGTTTAGCATAGTAGAAGTCCATATAAGGCATGTCAATGGAAACTCAGCCTACGTTTTTTGCGTAGTTGAAAGAACTGAGCAAAATGAGTTTTCATAAATGTACTCGTAGCCTACGTTTTTTTGCATAGTCGTAGGTGTTTGTGCCCAGATATGTAATATTGTTATTTGAGTGAACTAAGTAATTTAAGAAGTGTTTACTTGTTTATTTCCCAATGTAGTGACCGAATTATAGGAAAGGAGAGGTGGTTGTAAACAAACTCAACTCTATATAGACAAATGTACCTTTTTAAGTGTTTTGTTTGTGGGTATTTTTGGTGTGCTGAAGAGCATAACATTTACACTATGTTTGGTCTCAGATTTTGAGAAGTGTGGAAGAGTGAAAAATTAAGAAAATATTCTATTTTTTTAGTTTTTTGTTTATAACAAGATAAAATAAGATAAAAGAAAAGTTTTGTAATGGGTCCACAAAATCCTTTTCTTCTCGCCTCATTGAAGAAAAGTGGACCAAAAAAAAAATGAATAACTAGAGCCTTCCTTTTCACCCAACCCAACCAAGTTAAACACCAACTCAATTTCAAGCTAAATTGAAGGAAGAAAAATCAAACTACAGCGTTGTCGTTAGCCGTCGATGGCAGCGTGCTCATCACAAGGTTACCGAGAACTTGCCAACTACTTCTCTCGTCTTAACTATTGTTTACTGCGTGGTATTTCAAAGTTTAGTGTCCCACATTATCTAGTTGATAGACTTTTAAAGTATATATATAACAAGAAGATGTGACCAATGCCCGCAAATGTACCAACGGGAGCATTAAGGTTTTTGAGCACGAGTTCAAATTGAAGTTAGTAGCAAAATTATTTTTTTTTCTAGCTGCCAGGCCCCTAGTTTCTTATATTTTAGATTAAAAAAAAAACAATAATAATTTACTAGGTTTAAATTTTAATCAATGCTTCATTAAACTCAAATACTTCATAAATTATAGTATAATACACTTTTTATTATTAATTAAAATTTATCAAAAATTATGAGTCTCACTCTTTTTTATAATTTAAAATATTTGTTAAGTATGTGGATAAAGAAAAAGAATTTGATAGGTATTCTCATTATATACGTACATTTATTATTTTATATTTTAACTAAATAAAGAATATAAAATAAGCCATTAAGTTTAGATTAATACCCGAAATCATAAACTCTAATGTCATTGTCACTGATATATCAAAAACAAAAAAAAATAATATTAAATATTTCTAGACAAATTTATTATAGTAATATTCTTAACTTAAACAGGGCAGACTTTAAGAAGGAAAAGCATTAATAAAATCTTAGCTTAAAATAATTTAAAATATAGTCTAGGCGCATTTCGTTTATTGACTTTTAATTATTGTATTTTTATTTAATTATTAACTAATTAAAATAAAAATTATTTCTATAAATATAGTTAAATTTAACATTCTTAACTAACAGTGTCCCATGCATGTTTAATAGAAATAGAATTACTTTATCTAGTGATTTTTTAAAACATTTTTTTACGAAAAAGAAACTTTTATATATAAAATAGTACCACATTAGTTTACAATTAAAGATAAAAATAAGTTAAGTTGTTCGACTGGAATCTTTAGCTTAATTTTTTTAATACTTAATCTAACTTGATCTATTTAAGTAATAAATTTAATTTAAATTATTTAAAAAATTTAATTAATTAATTAAATTTAAAATTTATAAAATTTATAATTATATTAAATAATTTTATATTAAAATTATAATATAATACCATATTAAATAAATTAAATTTTAAAATAATTTTTTTTATTTCTTTTCATTAGAATTGACGATTACCACTACTACATTTTTGTAAGAGATAATTTTACTTGTTAAAATCTTTTACATTGCTATTGTTCGATCTGTGCATAATGTTAATTTGTATCTGTATTATCTTGATTACATATTTTGATAAAATAAAAATATGTAATTTTATTATATATATATTTAAAGTATTAAACTTTTTTTAAACTTATCTAGATACAAGCATTATAACTTTTATAAAAATATATTTATTTAGATGATTTAATAATCTATTTATAAAAATTAATAACCTATTAGCAGTTTCAATATGAAGTAAACTATTAAAAAATATCAATAGATCAAAACATGTTTTTAAAAAGTCAAACTTAATAAAGAGTATATGACAGATAATAAGTCAGACTTAAATTTTAAATTTTTTTTCTCTAATTTTATTTATAAGAAACAAAAGACTGAATTACTGGAATAAAGAAAATAGTTAATTCAGTTACATTTTTTTATAAATACAAGTTTTATTCTAAAAATATCAATAATATTAAATGATATAGTTGGTATAATAATTGCCTCATAAATATATATTTAACTATTAAAAAATATAAAAGAAATTCAATAATTATTATATGTCAAATATATATATGTTTCTTATAATTAAAAAAATATTTAATTTAATTTTTTATAAAAGAATAAAAAATTTATTAAATAAACTATACTTATTTATGCAAAATATAACTTATAGTCTAACTAATTTTGATCACTATTTATTGATTATAATTTTTGTAATTCGTACCAGTATTTACTGCATGCCACAGTCGACTTTTCAAATTGGTGGTTCCAAAAATTTACCGTAACGTAATAATACTTGAGGGTAAGAAGGTACAGGGTCTTTTAATTTGTTTCCGTTTTCTTACTAGCAAACCGTTTCGGTTATTTATTATTGTTAATATTTTTGGCCATGCAAAGCTTCTTAAATTCGGGCAACCATTTTGCCCCATTAGTTGCACTGCTCCAATATAGCTTATTGAGTTGTATTTTCACTCACTTTCATTTAGGTTCACCCACTTTTTTAATTAAGAGACTTTGCATCTTGGTTGAATCCATGAAAAATAATAATATTTACACCAATACATATACTTATAATAATAGAAGATTTAGTATAATTATGGCGAGTTTATCAATAGATGATTCTGTTCATGTGTGGATACATACAATCATCTTTCATGTATAGACTACTTTTCTTTAGGAAAAGAACGTTTTGTTTTTCAAACTAAAAGAAGAGGAACTGAATGCATGCAATATATTGGTAGAAAGCTCCAAATCGAGAAGCATCATTCTTGCAATGACGCTCTGCTGGGTGCATGCAACACCTCAATGCATGATGCTCTGAAATCTTGTACGTATTTAATATATTTTAAAAATATTCTGTAATAAAACATTTAATTTAGTTTTTGGTAAAGAATAATTCAGACATAATTACTGATATAATAAAGGGTGATGAAAAACTCATTTAACTAAGTGATGTTTCCATATCTTTTATTTTGCTTATAAAATATATAGTTAATAGTGTTTAATTAAGCATTCATGGATATTCACGACTACTTGTATGCCAGAAAGTAGGAAATCTGGGACAGGTACACTGTACTCGGTTTCATGATACACTCATCCCCACCCCATTTTATTGAGATCCCTTTAGAACAAATCAAGGTTATGTTTGTCTAATTCTACAAAATTACTCCCTAATTTGCTTATTTTGTTTCATTTGAATTTTTCTATTTATTATTTCAAATTATTAAAAATATTAATATTTTTTAATAAATCTATTTATTAGATATCATTTTTTAATTAACTATTATATTAATTATAACATAACTATTACAATAACTTCAGTACTTTTGATAAAAATATTTCAGTATAGTTAACATATTTTACCTTAATATATACTGTGATCATCTAATGAGATGAAAAAAATATATATGATAAGAATTTATGTATAACAAATTTTTATTTAAAATTACATAATATGATGCAATTAATGCATTAAAATTATTAAATATTATTTTTAAATTTTTTACACTGTTAAACTTAAAATAAGTTAAAAAACCATGTTATGGTCCGGGCAAGTATAAGTTTTAGTCAAGGTTTTTTTAATGACAAGCCATCAACTAAAATGAAGTCCACGACATGTTTATTGTACGTTTCAATCTAATCAATCCATTAAGACCATATTAATTATAAGTATTTTATTTAGGTCGCTATAATGTCTCAGTCTTTTTTTTTTATTAGAGCTTACGGACGTACCTCTTTACATTGTTATATGTAGCTTTCAACTTACTGTGTTAGGTTTGACGGATGGGTGTAAAACAATTCTTGTAAAGTAACAACAGTGATCGATCACGATAATATAACTGTGACAAGTGACAATTAAATTGTAATAACAATAGTGATCACGATAACAGTACTAACGATGATATTATTATCCACAGTGACTACTAATGTGAGACATTAAAAGTTGTTTGGTAGTTACTATGAATATGACAACAATGATATTATTGTAAGCACCCGAAACATGATCCTATGATGGTGAGGTTGACATTACATCTTCACTCAAAATCTCAAGTTAAAGTACATTGGGCCTTTTCACTTTATGTTATTCTCTTTTAACCCATTCCTAAGGACCTAAGCAATGTGAAACTTAATTACTCACTTAAATTTCTAATATTTCTTTCTTAAATGGTGAGTCCAACGTAAATTGGGATAGAAACTGAGAACTAACCACTTAATGACTTAAACAGAGGATTTGTAATCAATAATAATAAGATGCATACTTATTTTAATAATGCACGATCAATCTTCTTTAGAGATTTCAAATCATCCCATCATTTGTGTGTGTGTGGGAGGGCGCAGGGAACCTAACCTGTATTATAATGATGTTTCCCCTAATTGTTCTTCCTAACCGAAAGTTAAGGACTGGGCTTACACCAATAGCTACATGACATATCAGCTTAATAAGGTGTAAATTAGGCCTATATCTTTAAGTCGGCTAAATTTGACCCATTCTAACTTTAATACAAATCAATAATAATTATATGAGTTAATTATTGTGGCTGC